TTGTTAAAACCTAAACATCTCTTCTTTTATCACTCCAAATATGTATGCTACCTTTCATTGAAAGTGAAGTTTGAATAAGGATTCAAGAACAGTTTTTGAAAGATTATTCATCTCACATCACTGTTGTAGAAGTGCAGATCATGAATCTGCTTACTTTTCTAATGGAATAATCGGTAGCCACTTGATATGGACTTACTAAGAAAGCACCAAATGTTGACTGGATGAGGGATATGGCAACCAGAACTATACTGGCACCCAGTCAGCCAGGTCCCACCCTGTAACAACTGGATCCCTGTATTAATCAGCTTCTGAGACAGGCGTGCTGTACTTGCCCTCATATCCTCACGGGTCAGGAGGCTGTATGTTATGATAATGACCAAAGGAGAAATAAATAATGTAAAACTTGTGAGCTGTTGCCCATAACTGAGGGCTTGATGTCATGTGTTATTGTTGTGGTTTTTGTGTGACTTCAGACATTTGACCCTTTCTATTGCATGTTAATTATGTGAGTGAATTGAGTTCTGTTTTACACTGCTTTTAGCAGTATTCCATCAATATCATGGCAGGGGACACCAGAAATGGGCTTCATACATTGTACCCGTGAGGGGAATCGAACCCCAGGTCTTCGACATGAGGAGCAAATGCTTTAACCACTAGGCTACCTGACCGCCCGTATCAGTTATGAAATGCATACTTAATCCAGAACATAATTTACAAATGAAAAATAAGGCATGAATGTATACAAGGATGCTGTGTAAGATTAAAACTGAAATATATTGTTGTGATATTTCTTGTATGCACATAAATTCAGGAATGTTTTTCTGTGAACTTTTGACATATCTGACACTTAGTGATAATGTACAATGATGCTGTACAGCGATCATGTAAGACATTGCACTATGGGCCCGATGAATGACGTACATATGTACAGAATAAGGAACTAATGTTGATGCCAATGTGGCCAGTATTCCCTGGAGTTCCATAAGACACAAACCTCAGGTGAGAGCTGTTATTTACAATGAGAGATGTGTAGTGCTCATGGAGATTGTGGGAGATTGGTGATGATAGAAATAGGACTTTGATGAACCAGTGGCAGCTGGTTGCCATATGATTCGGTCATGTAGAAAGGCCAGGGGTCAATTGGAGCATTATGAGAAGGAGGAGTAGGTTGGCATAACATATCTAGATCATCAAAGTGATGATGGATAGATACAAGAGGGGTTTGCAGGTCATCTTGGCAGGTGCTTGACCTGAGGGCGAGGAAAGGTGGGGGGACAGGGAAGGGAGGATGATTGGGCCAGTGGGATTTGTTTAATGTTACAGTAATGTGTCTGTTGTTGCTTCTGTGTGGATGGTCTGATGTATTTTGATACATATCTCGTATTTTTTCCAAAATTAATGGTACAATATGCAAGTAATTAATCAAATAGATAAGATAAATCTTTATCTAGTCTGTATTTATCACATAAAATGACAATGAAATAATATGAAAGATAAAATAAATGTGTTTTACTAAAGCAACACAAAAAGACAAAATGATGACTAAGATAAGATTGAATAGATAGTGTCAGATAGTTTTTAAGAAATTGGATAACAATGTACCAGTATGTTTGATGCAACTGAAGTAGAAAAGTTGTTTATTTCTGGGTCTAAATGTCAGTCTATACTCAAGGGTTGTCAGTCATTTTCAGTCTAAGTTTAGAAGATGTGAACCAGAGACATTGTCTTTGCATCATTAAGATAACCATTTTCTTTAAGAGTCAGCAACCATGTCTAGAACATATCATACATCAATTCATTATGTATGTTAGAACTGTTCAGTATCCCTGAGAATTGGTTTCAGCAACCCATGCTTGTCGTAAGAGGCAACTTATGGGATCGGGTGGTCAGGTTTGCTGACTTGGTTGACACATATCATCATATAACAATTGTGTAGATCGATGCTATACCAAAAGACGTTAAAATATGGTACTTGTTGGTCCCTGCCTGGCGCTTGGCATTAATGGGTACAACAAGGACTGGTCGGCTTGGAGTCAGTATAATGTGTCTGAGTGAGGTATTCATGCTTCACTGCAGCATAGTATCTCAGTGGGCTAGCACTATAAAACCAGCTGAAGTCTGGGCTAGTACAAGCAGCTGCACATACACATACACACGCATGCACGTCGTCATATGAGCGAAATATTCTCAAGCATGACGTTAAACCCAATTTCACCTCACCTCACCTCACCTCACCTCACCTCACCTCACCTCACCTCACCTAGATCGTTGCTCATGCTGTTGATCACTGGATTGTCTGAATATTGGTGAGTGAGACGTTACACAACAAACAAACATAACATCAACATGTATCCATGAGCCTGGTCCCTTTCAGCAGTGTAAGACATTTTTATTTTCAACAGTTGGCAAAATTACCTGCTACAGAGTTGCCATCTACCAAACAGTAAAACCATGAATACAGTAGTTACAGTGATCAATAATAACATATATTATTAAAGTAGAACTTGGGCACAACCTCTGCCATCCACTTCCTCCTGCACTGATGTCAACTCCACAAGTAAGTCTCTCAGTCTGAGTAATGTTTAAATGGTAGCTAGTTATTTTAGCATCAATTACTAAATTAGGTTTTAAGTTAACCTTTCATCATGAGATTGTATATTTAGATTGTCTACATTAACTTGGCATGTAAACCTATGACAGAATATATACCATTACAGCTGCCCTTCAATATAGATCATAGAGATAACAAATTGTTTATTAGAGATGAATCTCAGTTACCAATATCAGTTACCAATATCAGTTACCAATATCAGTTATCAATATCATTTACCAATATCAGTTATCAATATCAGTTATCAATATCAGTTATCAATATCAGTTACCAATATCAGTTACCAATATCAGTTATCAATATCAGTTACCAATATCAGTTATCAATATCAGTTACCAATATCAATATCAGTTACCAATATCAGTTATCAATATCAGTTACCAATATCAGTTACCAATATCAGTTATCAATATCAGTTACCAATATCAGTTATCAATATCAGTTACCAATATCAGTTACCAATATCAGTTACCAATATCAGTTATCAATATCAGTTATCAGTTACCAATATCAGTTATCAATATCAGTTATCAATATCAGTTACCAATATCAGTTATCAATATCAGTTATCTATAAATATAAAGAACTGTTAACAAAACTGAAAAAAAGTTTTAAAAATCAATTTATTTCATGTCACTGATGATTAACCAAACATTAATGTTCTTGGAAAATGAAACTTAGTTGCACTTATCTTGAGATCTGTAATCTTTACTGAATTAAATTTATATTTGATAAACCTTCCATGTGTTTTTGTTCAGTATATATAATTAGATTTAAACTGCACCTAACATGTACAGGAAGTACCAGTTGACTGTAGTTTTCTCACACACTCTCAAGTGTTTGTCATTCTGTTCCTTGATGGAAAACCCATGGAATATTATAAGATTGGTCTAGGTTCACTAATGACGCCCGAGATGAAGAATGTTAAAGGTTCATTTTAAGAATTAAGTAAAATTCATTAGTGTTCCCAACAGTTTATTTCAGCAGCACAATATATAAATCATAATATTCGGCATTTCAGCATGCTTATCTTATCTTACTTGAACATATAGATAAAATATATGTGATAAAATCCAAAAGGAGCCCAGAATATTTCATAATTTTAGGGAGGTCTGAGGCAATCATTGCAAACTTGAGTTGGACACCTGTCTAATTTATTTCCTTGGGTCTAGGGGGCGGTGGGGTAGCCTAATGGTTAAAGCGTTGGCTCGTCACGCCGAAGACCCGGGTTCGATTCCCCACATGAGTAAAATGTGTGAAACCCATTTCTGGTGTCCCCCGCCGTGATATTGCTGAAATATTGCTAAAAGTGGTGTAAAAAAACTCACTCACTCAATCCTTGGGTCTAGGAGACAGACCCTTGAGTATAGAGCAATGTTCCTGTGGACATATGGAAGTACTTGTACCAAGGATAACCAGTCAACCTGGTGTAGAAATGCTTGGCCTGAATGAAATCTGCCTGGTGTCAACTACCATAGTGGAAGGGTTTGTTTGCACTGGAGTATTCCCACAGCGATCAGTTTACACTTGGTGGCAGTTGCCTTGCCCCCCAGATATTATTTGAGAGTTGTCACTTAGCTGTCTGTATTGTTGTGAAATATCGCTGTTATGTAATCACATTTGAGAGGACAGGTTTAGTGAGATTCCCTTCAACATTGTAAATATACTTGACATTTTGATGCTAGGATGTGTGAACATGGTGTTTAAAAACGCAAAACCCTAGAGATGTTTGAAACTTTAAGGAGGAGATTTCAGTGTTGATTTTTTTAGAATGCGGTCCCCAAGATAAATGAGAAAGAGTGTCTTCTGTTTTCTTTGCACATGTTTTTGAAACAAACTCTACTTTGGTCTGTCATAGGAAACCTTTTGTATGGCATTTTTGCCAGTTCAACAATTGTTGGTTTACATGTTCTTGGGTGTTCTAAAGCAGTAGGTCACAACTGCCACTACAATCAGTGGTTGGAAGATGTGTCGTGACGGCTGTGTGTCATGGTACCATGTTAGTGAGGATGTTTTTCATGCTCTCAGTCGCTAGTTTGCCCTGTCAAGATATATAGGCTATTGTGATATGGCTCGACTAATGCACATTAAGGCATAAAACAAAGTTCATTAACCCAACAAACTGTTCATTCTCTCTCATATAACAGATAATGTCGTGCTAATATCTTAGGTATCTATCACCTATATCACTATGTGTTTGTGATTGAGTTGTGAGGCACCTGACTTGGTTAACACATCCCAGTGGTGTAGATCGATGCTCATGATGTTGATCACTGGATTGTCTGGTTCAGACTTTATTATTTACAGCCACCTCCACATAGCTGGAATGCCACATTAAAAAATTAACAATAAAAACAAGCCTGTTACCCAGTTGTCAATGTATTTGCAGGCATACGTGGAGTTCATCAAGTGCATGGGCGGCCTGTGGCTGGAGAGGAACATCTCCGTCTTCCTGAACCACATCCTGGAGGTTGTCGCTAATCCAAGGGCCACTCCATCGCACGTAGACGCTGTGTACGCCAGAAAGTGTGTCCTCTTTATAATCCGCTCGGCCATTGGGGGCATGCTTGGAGAAAAAGCACAGATAGCAGCAGCCAAAGAGATATGTCAGATCATCATCAAACAAATGAACTCAGTTGGTAAGAGTGCATTTAGTAATGATGTGTCATAGGAAGCACGATCATAAGTATGATTGAATGCTTGAACGATTCTTCCAGTAGGATTCTGGTATGGAAAAAGTATGATTGAATCATAATGTTCTCTTTGACTCTTGAACTTCCTTTGTAAATAGGTGACTCTTCCTGTGAGGATTCTGGGTCATGGAAACTTGGTGACTTAAGTACCATGTTTGTGATGAACTTTGATGAGGAAATGTTAAAACAGTTTGTGATCTTGCTGAATGGTGGTTCACTGCCATTGGTGTCCATGTTGTCAGGTGACTGGTGGGTCACTGGGCTGTGACTTGGTGACTTATAGGTGACTGTAATATGGCTTGGATTTTGCTGACTGAAAACTAAAACAACAGAGTCCATTTTTCATTTCACTTAAGTCTTCTCTTTAATGTACAAATATTATTTAATGTACCAATTGAGTGACGGGAAACATGTTCAAGCACATTTAAGTTGCTCTCAGAATAACAAAAGCAAGATTTATGGATGAATAGTAGGGAGTATTCACCTGACGGAGCAAGCATACACTCCAAAACATGCTATTCACAATATAGAAGTTGACATCCATAAATCTTGCTTCTCTTATGCATTCCACTTCTAAATGCCCTTCAAAGATTTGCTCTCAAAATGTTCACAGTTGTACTAAACTTAGTAAACATTTATGGCAACTGTTCATAATTCTATGCTCAGGTGAAGCTACCATCGACGCTGCTGAAGGGAAATCCCAGGGTGCAGACCTCACCGCCAGTCAGCATGTGTTGGTGTGTGCGCTACATGAACTCGGCAGTCTGGTGCTCAGGCTGGGCAGCTCAGCAAGTCCACTTGTTGCTGAGCCTGCTACAGGTGAGGGACAGTATAATAAATAATAATGATAATAATTATGCACTTTTATAGCACCTAATGTCCAACCAGTGCTGCTCAGTGGTGCTTTGACATAACAAAACAGCTGATAGAAACTGCAAAGCAATGGAGATGAATTAAAGAGTGTAAGCGTCTTGAAAGAGAGGCGTTTTGAAAGAGTGTCTTGAACAGATCGAGGGTTGCTGCAGATCTGAAGCTAAGAGGAATAGTGTTCCATAGAGCATGAGCAGCAGCTGAGAAAGGTCTCTCTCCCATGGATGTCTTGGTGACTGAGCAGACAACTTGGATATGTTTTCTGATCTCAGTGATCTGGTATATGCTTAAGGTATTTGTGATGCAAAGGATCTTGAAAATTATTCGCTGCTTTAAGGGGTGCCTTAATCGGTTAGTCTTTGCTGTTGGTTTTGTGACCTTTTTGGAAACTTTTTAGTTCGTCGTCTTGCTGAACTGGCCTGTTTTTGTGTTTTTATAAGATTGTCAGCTCTTTCTGTCCTGCTGAGTTTGCTCCATTTTAGAAACATGTTTTTTTATGAAAACAATTCAGTCAGTTAGCTGAAGTAACTACTATAATCTTAGGAGGCTGTATTAGCAGCTCCAGTTGAAAGGTTTCAGGAGACGCACACCAAAAAAGGTACATTCGTCCGTTCAGACCGATGATTTCAGTTAAGTTTAGACCTGGATATGAGCTGAGCCATCCGAATTTTGTCCATGTGTAAGACATGCTTTCATAACCACTGTGACCACATTCAGAGAAGGGTTATATTTGACAGCCACAAGTGACTCAGTGTCATGTATGTTTTAAGGACCTTTTGAATCTGATTAGTAGACTAGGTGATGAAGTCACTGATTAGTAGATTTAAGGCTGTAACACCAGGGCAGGGTAGCCATTGATCTGTTTATCGAGACACTTTCTTGACATCATCTGGACAGAACAGGACCTTCCAGACACACTTCATTTAATCTAGGATCCTATCTAACTCAGTTTATTGTGATTGCTAGTCGGTGAGCATTTACTGTTTGTCATAGCATCGTTTAGGGTATTAGAAGCACTGCCTTATCAGACTGAGACAACACTGTGTTTGTCTGAGGAGTACTGGGTCAATAGTCAGAGTGATAGCAGGAGTAATATCACTGATTTACACGGGTCAGTTTAGTGGAATATATTTTGTGATGTTTTCACATTGTTGTGTTGTATGTGATACACACATGTCCAGGGCGATTGATTCCTTGACTTCTTTGAGAAAACTGAATATTTGGCAAGGGAGTGGAGCTAGACAAACCATATTTAAGCCCATTCAGACATTGTTGATACTAAAGTTGTACCTGTTGAAACCTAGTCTAGTATTGGACAGTCATTGTCTATGAAGCAGACAGACTCTAAGCCCAATGATCCCTCGACCATAGAGGAACACACACACTGAAACCCTAATATGTGAAGTCTGTGAAAGTTAACTGCCATATAGCTGCAATATTGCTGAGTGTGGCGTTGAACAACAAACAAAAACAAACTATGACAGTTAAAAGATTTGTATGGGGTAAACCATAGCAGAAAATAATCTCACTATTGCCATTGGATTAGAAACATATGGCATATGGAAATGTTCATAATTCAGGACAAGTCATTACCAAACTCACAAGTCATCCCCATCCAATCCCATCCCCCACCAGTCGCTACCCCCACCTTCCCACCCCCTTCAAAACAAAGGCACAAGAAGAATTTTAAAAAGATTTAAGGTTAGTGCCTAAAAATTACCATTTTCTTGAATTTTGTATTCTGTTCACTCACTTTCTTTGCCATTTTGACTTTCTTTTTATCAAATGCCAAAGGATGCAGTTGAGGTTGAAGGAGGACATCTTGTTTATATCACAAGGGTGTTGTTTTTCTTACTGGAGAAAGACCCATCACTGCTATCTCCTCAATATCTTCAATGTCCTGGCTCAGATGTTAAGGAGTCATCAGTCAATAGGTGACATGACTTATCTCCCCTGTCAATCACTTCCTGAACAGACACTGTTCATCAGCCAGACCCGATGGTGGTAATTATACTGACAGAGATAGCTAACAAAAATGGAAAAATTATAGGAATTATCTGTCTCTGTCCTAAAAATTCATGAGTTATGTGTTAAGGAAAGTTATCTCTACTGATGAAGTGATGGGAGCTGTATCCGACATTGCTTGGGAGTTTGCCCAGGAGTAATGCTGCACTGATAAGCATCATGCCAACTTTCTATTCTTTGCCCATGTATCAGGACATTATCAAAATGAGAATATTCAGAAAAAGATAAATGATGTCTGGTTTCTGATGTAGCCGATCTCATTTAACTTCACCAGTACATTCAAAGCAGAGTTAACGAAATGCCCTCATTTCCAGTATACAAAATCATTTATTTGTAAAATGCATTGCAGTCAAAGTGTTTTGTCATCAAATTAACAGGTATGTGTTACATTAACTGCTTTAAATTCAGGCTTAAGTTAATGATTAAAAATAGTTTTTATCTACGACAGTGACTTTTTATCTCTTCTTCTCTCTCTCTCTCTCTTCTCTCCTCCCCCTGGGCATGTAATGTGGGGGGATATAGTTGATAGCTTGTCCGTCCGTAATCATTTCACTTCTGGAGCATAACTAAGAAACCATTCAATATTTTTCAACAAAAATTGGTATATATATAAAACAGAACCTAAAGTGATGCCTTTTGCTATTTACAGGTTTTGGGCATTTTTCTTTTTCTGGATTTCCATAGAAACAATTTTGACTTAGCCTCAAAAAGGGGTGGATTTTGTTTCCAGAGCATAACTCATATTATATAAATTCACTCAATATCTATCAGCAGAACTTGGCAATATGTGAGGCAGTGGTGCCTTTTGCTATTTGCAGATTTTTGGCATTTTATTTTTCCTGGTTTCCATGGAAACGATTGGGACTTAGTCTCAAAATGGAGGGGTGGGCTTTGTTGCCGGAGCACAACTTGAAAACCGTTCAATATCTTTCAACAAAACTTGGCAGATATATCAAACGGACCTTGAAGTGGTGGCTTTTGCTATTTGCAGATTATTGGCATTTATATTTTTCATGATTTCTGTGGAAACGATTTGGACTTAGTCTGAAAAATTCAAGTTCAAGTAACTGTCAGATGATTTGTTCTTTCAAATTTGTTGGGGCTGGGGGGATTTTTCATCTTCTGATGACTCTTATTCAAACCGAGTTTAGAAGTATTTCAGCATTGCTTTCAGTACAGTAATGTTTAAGATTAAAACATCTTTCTATTTAAATGAATTGGGAAAGTTTAATTTGAATATGTGATTTTTTACTGAAATTGCTTCAGACTTGGCTTTATCTTCTTTGAACAGGTCTATATAGACCAGTGAATCTTTTGCTAATTTTCAATAATATGTATAATTAACTGTCAGTCAGTATGTCAATATATCAATCATTAACTGTTATTGAAATACTTCATAATGTATTTGCAAGTGTTGAAATAACTCGAATAAAACAGCAAAGTTTCCGAAGCGGAGTTCCCATTCTAACCCTGCTTGTTATTCACAGGTATCATTGAGCCAGTGGTGTCTGTGCTGATTCATCCAAGTCATGCAGCCCGTCTGTCAGCATCCTGGTGTCTGGGCAGCATAGCTGTAGCGCTGCCGTCACAGTTGACGCCCCTGCTGGACCGGTGTGTGGAGAGGATGGAGAAGCTAAAGTCGTCCCCGGAGGCAGTGTCCGGCTACAGCAGCGCTCTAGCAGCACTTCTTGGAGGGGTCTACCAGTGCCCTCTAGGCATTCCACATGCAAAAGGAAAGGTAAGTAGTTTTGTCATTATGATCTGTTAATAATCAAACCTTAAATCCATACAAACCAATGGTTGATAACGTGAGCAACAGGCAATGTTATGTGGCACAATATTTGTATCACAGAAGTCTGTGTGAGAAGATAGTGAGACATGATACCCTTCCATGTTTCATTTATCATGATTCCCGACATATTAAGTCTTTAATTATCCCCCATTAATTTAAATGGATTGGTGTGTGTGTGTGTGTGTGTGTGTGTGTGTGTGTGTGTGTGTGTAACGATTCACTCGCATATTTGGTGAATCGAGAATAGCCCTTCATGAATTCATTTGTTATATTTATTGTTTTTTTAAGGGAGCATGTTTTACTTGAACCCTTGTGTACTTTTGGAAAGTGAGATATGCAAGAATTGAATATGTACTAGCCTTGCAGTAGTGCAAGTGTGAGTTTGCCAAGGCCACACATGGTACTGTCATCTATAACTATTACATACCAAATTTGAGTGTCATGAGATCACTGGTTATTGATGTGACAAATTAACACTGTCAACATGGGCGTTCCATATTGTACATCAATCACTTAACTACAATATTGTATTCATGAATAATTATTCGTATTCGTTACCCAATATTCATGATACGTATCATATTCACCACATAGTGTATTCGTTGCAGTCCTAGTGTGTGGTTCTTTCGTATTTCCCTTTTCTTTTTGTCTCAAGACTCATGTTTAATCTTGAGAAATAGTCACAGTGTTACAATAAAAACCCATGTTTAAATCCTTCATTGTTCTAATTTCAGCAAATCTTCACAATAGCAGAGGAGTTGTTGAGGACAGCGTCCCAGAACAGCCGTTTGTCTCTGCAGAGAACCCAGTCAGGCTGGCTTCTGCTTGGCGCCCTCATGACTCTAGGTACAGCTGTACTCTGCCTTCTTCCTGGACTGATGCTCAGACATATAGAGACTGAATAATTTCTGAATAGAATTGCAATATCTAATATCTGTCTAATACCCTGTGTTACTAGACAGTATCTGAATCAGAAGTAGAGGCGTATAAGTCCACAGTTTTACTGCCATAGGAGGGACACAGGTTGTCCAAAGTTGCATGCCTTAGTTGTATCAGGATCAGCTATCTCCAAATTCTAGAATCTTTGATTATTATTTATAGTTTGTCAGCACCATACTTATTCTCATTGCTTTTATGTTAGTGTTGAATGTCTAGAGTCTGCTTTGATTCATGCTTTCCTCTCCAGCCGAACAGGCACATTATGGTAAAGCTGAAACTCCTTTTCAAAGCAGGATTTATCCAAACCAGCTCCATCTAGTCACATTGTATATTGACTATATTAGAAATATTTGAATATTGATTCGGATTTGACGCTGCTTCTGCTCACAGAATAATGACTCTGATATTACAGGTCAGTCAGTCGTCAAGAACCATCTTCCCCGAATGTTGCTGTTGTGGCGGAATGCCTTCCCACGATCCAGTCGAGAGCTGGAGTCGGAGAAGGTGCGGGGTGACGCCTTCACGTGGCAGGTTACGCTGGAGGGAAGAGCCGGTGCTCTTGGAGGTGAGGACAGACGATAACATGATAATGTCACCAAACATAATACTGGAGGTTAGGGTTGGTGTTGATTGTCAGTTTTATCATCTCTTATGAGATAAATCTACCATGAAGCTGCCTCACCCTGCTTTGCAGACCATTGTGATGTCATAGGTTACCATAGCATCACACACAAACGACATCTCTGATTCTGAAGATGGTCAGCTCTACTGTTTACACTATGTAGTTATTATCGCTTATATGTGCTTATTTAGCCATTAAAAAGGAATTACACTCATTAACATTTGCCCATTTTATTATCAGCCAATCAGGAAACAATAGTGCATTAATGATCATGACTTATTTTTATGAAATAATTCTCGAATAAACTGCCGTGGATTCACATGCAATATATTTATCTTATGGCATGTGCATGTTTCAGCTATGCACAGTTTCCTTCTGTATTGTCGGGAGTTGGTCACAGAAGATGTCATTCGCCGTCTGCTTGCACCGATGGAGTGTGCATTGCTGATGTTGTCTCAGTAAGTCATCCTGAGGTCATGATATTCTATCAGTGTGCTGGTTGTTAAAACTTAAAGATATTCTTTCCTTTCTGTAATTTGCAGTCTGTAAACTGTGGTTTGAAATGGTTTCAGTGTTGTGTTCAACTTTCAGCCTGCCTAGCATCATCAAGCTGTATGGCCCCCACTTAAAGGCCAGCGCTGCCATGGTGAGACTGAGGGTGTACGACGTGTTGTCACTGCTGCCGCCAGAGTCTTTTGATGGTAGGTTCAGTGTCTCATACGACTACTAGTAAACAGCGGATGACCCTGTCAGATTCCAGGTTCAGATATGTCACCTAGCAACCTTTCCCGTCATCACAGGTCATGGAAGGATCAGGTGGTGATTGTCATTGTACCAAAGGCAGATTATATACATTCATGGGCTGCTGTGTTATAGCTGGAATATTGGTGCAGTGTTAACAACGACAAAGAAAGAAATATTTGAATAATCAAATGTAATATATAAATTATAGTGTGGAATACTTGCATATTTTCTGATGACGTCACTTGGATTCTGTGGCAGAATGGTAATCCAGAATCCAGTGCTCATCATAATAATAGTGTGTGTCATCCTTTACAGTGATTGTTCACTTGTGTCCATGGGTTTAAAGACCATTGTGACATGGCTGGAATATCTGCAGATATGTGCTTTAAACAACAATCAGCCACTCATTTACTGTCATCTAGAATGTAAATCTCAAAATTTTATACTGAAATATTAACAAACCGAGACTGGTTTGTATTACAATGGGGTGGGTAGTTGGAACTCACTCTCAATTTGTGTGCAAATATAGTTCCAGTTGATGTTCTGTTACCCTGAGTATATATGTAAACAGTGTGGTTTTAGGAATGTTCCCGATGTTGTTACCTGGAGTATATATGTTAACAGTGTGGGTTTGTTGTAGGAATGTTCCCGATATTGTTACCTGGAGTATATATGTTAACAGTGTGGGTTCGTTGTAGGAATGTTCCCGATATTGTTACCTGGAGTATATATGTTAACAGTGTGGGTTCGTTGTAGGAATGTTCCTGATATTGTTACCTGGAGTATATATGTAAACAGTGTGGGTTTCGTTGTAGGAATGTTCCCGATATTGTTACCTGGAGTATATATGTAAACAGTGTGGGTTCGTTGTAGGAATGTTCTCGATGTTGTTACCTGGAGTATATATGTAAACAGTGTGGTTTGTTGTAGGAATGTTCCGATGTTGTTTACCCGGAGTATATATGTTAACAGTGTGGTTTGTTGTAGGAATGTTCCCGATATTGTTACCTGGAGTATATATGTTAACAGTGTGGTTTGTTGTAGGAATGTTCCGATATTGTTACCTGGAGTATATATGTAAACAGTGTGGGTTCGTTGTAGGAATGTTCCCGATATTGTTACCTGGAGTATATATGTAAACAGTGTGGGTTCGTTGTAGGAATGTTCCCGATGTTGTTACCTGGAGTATATATGTAAACAGTGTGGGTTCGTTGTAGGAATGTTCCCGATATTGTTACCTGGAGTATATATGTAAACAGTGTGGGTTCGTTGTAGGAATGTTCCTGATATTGTTACCTGGAGTATATATGTAAACAGTGTGGGTTCGTTGTAGGAATGTTCCGATATTGTTACCTGGAGTATATATGTAAACAGTGTGGTTTTGTTGTAGGAATGTTCCTGATGTTGTTACCTGGAGTATATATGTAAACAGTGTGGGTTTGTTGTAGGAATGTTCCGATATTGTTACCTGGAGTATATATGTTAATGGATTTGTGGTTTGTTGTAGGAATGTTCCAGTGATATTGTTACCTGGAGTATATATGTAAACAGTGTGGGTTCGTTGTAGGAATGTTCCGATGTTGTTACCTGGAGTATATATGTAAACAGTGTGGTTTGTTGTAGGAATGGTCCCGATGTTGTTACCTGGAGTATATATATGTAACAGTGTGGTTCGTTGTAGGAATGTTCCTGGATATTGTTACCTGGAGTATATATGTAAACAGTGTGGTTCGTTGTAGGAATGTTCCCGATGTTGTTACCTGGAGTATATATGTAAACAGTGTGGTTTGTTGTAGGAATGTTCCCGATGTTGTTACCTGGAGTATATATGTAAACAGTGTGGTTTGTTGTAGGAATGTTCTCGATATTGTTACCTGGAGTATATATAGTGTAAACAGTGTGTGGTTTGTTGTAGGAATGTTCCCAGTATGTTGTTACCTGGAGTATATATGTAAACAGTGTGGGTTTGTTGTAGGAATGTTCCCGATATTGTTACCTGGAGTATATATGTTAACAGTGTGGTTTGTTGTAGGAATGTTCCCGATGTTGTTACCTGGAGTATATATGTTAACAGTGTGGTTTGTTGTAGGAATGTTCCCGATATTGTTACCTGGAGTATATATGTTAACAGTGTGGTTTGTTGTAGGAATGTTCCCGATATTGTTACCTGGAGTATATATGTTAATAGTGTGGTTTTGTTGTAGGAATGTTCCCAATGTTGTTGCGGGAGCTGGTGGCAGAGTTTACCTTGACCGACAATCCAGCAACAACAACGACTTCACTGCTGCGATCCATGTGCCACGTTGATGACAGTGTCATACTAGGGTCATGGCTGCAAGAGACGGACCACAAGGCCATTGAGGACCAGGTACGGCTACAATCAACACCATATTTCTTGAACATGGAACATTTACAACCTGCTTATCACAATAAAACAACTTTACTTCAGTGCAGTGGGATATGCACTGTTGTGCATTATTGGAACATGTGTGTACTGGTATATCTTAGGTACACCACTGTTATACACTCCTGGGGCCTCGGTGTATACAAGAACATCTGGGGGATATAGTATTTGTACACTGTTGGAAAATACAATAGTTTTGTTATTATATCACACTTACATACTAGAAATATACAAAGGGGACTGTATGCATGTGGAAGATATTTGTGATCAACATGAACATCATCACAGATCTCTTCAGAAATATTGACACTTAACAGCTAGGAATATACACAGTTAACCATGGAGGTATTTCTGGAAAGACACCATGAATACCAGAATGACATCACAAAAATTTAACTAGTACCATGTGTACACAAGAACGACAATGATGCTACCACAGGATAGAATGGAATACATCAACAGGATATAACATGTACAATGATGTCACATGTGTTTGTGTAAAATTCACGTATATTTGTGCATGAACACTATGAAATTATCTTTGATTTTTCAGCCTTCTCTTTTTCTATGAGTATGTTCTTGAAATCTGAGATAGTGCTCATATACTGAGTGTAATTCAATAAAAAACACAAACCATTAAAAATCATCATAGCATAAGCAATGATTAGGAGCAGAATATGATAGTCAGTAAAGGCAGTGTTGCCCAAAGTATATTGGAACTCCTATAATTAGGCACATGTAATATATGATAATCAAATCTTCAGTGGATGAGACCCTGGAAGCACTGACTGTCATCAAGTCCATATTACAATAATTAATCTTTCAAACAAAATTTAAAAAAGAAAACAACACTACAGAATATTTGATTTCTAATGGGATTCCATGCAGATAATATCCATAGTTGAAAGCAAAATAGAAGCCAGGCCACCTAATTGAGATTTGATTGTAATTGTTTATATACAGGATGTTTTTTAATAGCCAGATGCTCTATAGGCAGGATAATGCAGATGCAATGTAAAATGTAATTCACACTCACATGGACTGAATAGATGTTCACATTTCTCTCTCTTCACAGTCTTTTGCAAATGAGTTGTGTTTGTCTTGGTTTGTTGACCTTTGATTTCATCTCCGTGTTTGTGTTGGTCATGAAGTAATCGTTCTGTCTGTCTCTCAGTTCAGTGACCTTTGGCTTCCATCGTTATTCACCACAGCTCTATTGACTTTGTTTAACTGTATCATTTATGCTTTGGAGTATACAAGTATTTGTCTTGCCCTTTCTTGTTCGCAGTTCTTTGTTCACTAAACCCATCCTACCATTAGAACTCAAGTATCAATTTGTTATTCTCCTTTAGCGTGCAGTCTCATTTCCCGGACTCTTTTTCTTTCGTCCAACTATTCCTGCGTCAAATTGTTGTGAAGTCGACCTGTACCTTCTCTTGTAGATTGAACCTAATCGTAGGGTGGATAAGGAGTTCGTGAGTATTCCTAAACAGCAACAACACAGACTGCATTTACTGATGTGTGCCCGTACTGCTAATATGTCTTCCTTTCAGCTCAACGTGGTGATCAAGTCAGTCGTCCTTCAAGGGATGGTTGGCTAGCCTAGTTGTAAACTGTCGGCTTTCATTGACTAAGACCAGAGTTCGATTCCCAAAGTGTTTGAAGCCTATTTCTGGTGTACCACACCTTTTTACTGCTGGAATATTGCTGAAATCCTCATAAAAACTTGAACACCCATTGACACATAAAGTAATGTCAAGGATTTATATCTTTACTGTTCAAATCGTTTGTTATTCATGTCAAACAGTTTTTAAAGACATTCCTCCAGGTGTTTTTGTAACAGTTAGAATTGTTGTGGGTATTTTTTCCTTTTGAATGCATATACTCAGCAAAAATATTCATTAAAACATTTCGTTTTTATTATTCCAAGCTGTGTAATTACTGTAATTATTGGTGTTATCGTGAAGATCTCAAGCTTGATCACCATGTTGAAGTTTTGTTTTGGATGCTGTCATGACCAGTGGAGGGCCATCTGCTGAAGTGCATGTCTTGAATGAGGCCAGTGTCATTGAGTTTTTTTAGGTGTACGCCTGCTTCAATCTGATGCATCGTGAACAAGTAGTGAATATCTTCCAAAAACAATTCTCTCTCATGTTCCGTGCTCAGTGACAATTATGTTGGTTATTGATTCTAAAAGCATGAAGTGGACTAAAATCCACAAGATTTGCTCAGTTTTAGCATTTTTATGTAATTGAACTTTGAGAGAATTGTTTTGAATGAAGAACAACCTGATGAGATGAACTCTTTTGACTAACCATTCTAACTGAATGATATTTCAGTCTGTCATCACACATTTCCCCATCAAGTAGAAACTGATGATAAGTTGGAAATGAGACTGCACTACCAGTAGTTAAGTCTGACCTTGATTTGTAGCATCTGGAACAGTGAACTCTGTTACACACCCAGCAAATTGTTCCAATTTACGAAACAGTGGCCATCACTGTATTGGAGCTGACTTATACCAGTGATGCACTTCAGGTTTTGAGAATGTACCTGAGAAGATTCCCTGCCTTATTACTACTTTGCTGCATGGTTGTGTATGTAGAATTCTAGGTTTGCTTCTGTTTGTGACAAATCACCATTTATAGGAATAATGAGAGTATGTGAAACAATCCTTTTCGGATGGAGACGTAACCTGAAGCAACAAAAAGTGGTTGAAACACCTTGACTCTGTGAACCAACGATTAAAAGATCTGAGTGGCTTTTCATGACATCTGCCTTGGAATGAGCACGGCATGTGACAACACAGTATTTTCACCCTAACATGACATAAACAAAATACAAAGGGAGACAACCAGGATCTTCTTGGCATGCAGATACTCTAACAAATATCACTATATACTAACAAGACCCATCGTGCGATGTTTATCATGAAGTGTAAAAGAACATATTCACATGCTGTTTCTGTTATTGTGAGCTATGTAAACATTGATTCAGTTAGTCACACACGACTTTTGTTCAGTGCTTCAGTCATTGTTGTCAGTAAGATGCAGTCAGTTTAATTCCCATGTTCAATGTAGGGTTTATCATGTGGATGTTTTCTGTACAGTCGACACAGACAAGTACATCTGCAGCATGGATAGCTTGTTCCTCTAGCAGGGTTAACCAGTGTAGTTTTATTTCATACATTTTGAACTCCATGCCGTCTGCTTTCAGCTGCAGCCAAACAGTGCGTCTGGTTCGGGGGCTCTGGAACATGATGCACAGTATCTTTATGCAAGATGTCCTCCGGTAAGTTAAAATGCTGGCACCCAATTACATTCTATTAGAAAATCATATAGTAATACCCTGACCTTGATTATTTGCTCTTCAGTTGTCATCAGAGCTTATTAAAATGAGGGTCAGGAGAGGTGATTTCAGTGTGTGGTCCGGGTGATTGTGTGTCATTGTATCCTGAATGCTAATTCTGACACCACCGTACTCATTGATTATAGGACATTGTGATATAGCTGTATATATATTATATTATATCACAAATATTCAAAGTAAAGTTCAACTAAACTAACTCACTTATCCCACAAACCAATAAAAGAGTTGGTGTGTAAAAAACATGAACTTTTTGTTGGGTAGTCTACAGGAATACTGCTGATTCTGAAGTGGAAGCTGGGTTTGAATCCCTAAATGGGTTCTGTTTCCATATCCCATTCATGTTATCCTTTTATCATCTGTGGTGTTCTGTAATGTGGGATCTAGATGGCATTATGATGTCTCTTCTTACAGAGTGATCCCGTACCAGGACCATTGCCACTAGGTGTCGCTGTCATCGACAGTTCTGTACGGTTGTATGGGTTCATCTTCCCCCGAGTAGCACACAAACATCGTTATCAGATGCTCAACCACTTCAATGAATGTATCAAACAAGCTAAATCATCACGACAACAGGCCGTACAGATGAACATCTTCACTGCAGTGCTGTGTGCACTGAAGGTAAGGACAGTACCAACATGGAGGTCTTCTGTTTGGAAACTGTTGAAAACTAAAGTCTCGGCATCATGTGAGAGAACCATCTGCACATGCAGCACATATTTTGTTTCCACTGACTTTTACCGAAATGTGCCTCTGTTCAACAAGCAGTGAATAGGAAGGATGAGATGGCAATGGGATTGTGAATATGGCTCACATGCAGCTTGCACTTGAGTACTCCCTAGGGAGATGAGAATAATAAATAGAGTGTACTATCTAATAACTTAAGCATGCTTTAGGTGATGGATTGTGTGCATTGTAAATATGCAGATTATTATTATTATTTAGTGCTGTCAAATTAAGCATGTCTTATAGCTGACATACCATTTTGTGTTTTCTGTTAAATTTTGACAAGGTTGAATAATGAAGTTATGTTTGTACAGAGTCTGTCTGAAACAAAGACAAGCATTGGAACAGATGATGTAAAGAAAGCAGCCTTTTCCCTTATCATGGTAAGTCTGGTTCTGTGATGGAACAAATCACATGGTTAAACACATCCTAGGAACTTAGTCTGTGACACAGTTTTTAGACTGACATTTTGAGTCATCCATTGAAGTTTCTTGCATTTGTTGAACATATTGTAATTGATGGATTTGTTTTGTCCAGGGTGCACTGAGCAGTGCCAACCCCATCTTGAGGTGTGCAGCTGGCGAAGCCCTGGGTCGAATGGCCCAGGTCGTTGGGGACAGCAGGTTCATAGCCGAGATGGCACAGTACAGCTTTGATAAGTAAGTATTAGCACATTAGTATATTATAAGTTGAGGATGAAACTTGAGGATTTTTTACAAATGTTTGGGTAACTTTAAAGTAAAATCCAAACTGTTTCTATCATTCTTAAGAGATCTTCTTTAAGAGGCAGAAGATTTTTCCATGAAATGTTTCTGCACATTCAACTTTCAGTTGAGATGTGTATCATCAATAACATACAAGCTACTTTCTTGGGAATCTCAGTTTCAAAACATTGAAAGATACTGACAATATCAGATGAAACATGCATTAGTACATGCACTTGTAGTGAAGTTTTTGGTTTGATATGTTGTATTATCTTGCCTTTTGTTCCAGATTGAAATCTGCAAGAGATGTTGTGAGTCGGACAGGTCACTCCCTGGCTCTGGGCTGCCTCCACCGTTATGTAGGGGGAATGGGGTCCGGCCAGCACCTCAACACCAGCGTCAGCATCCTCCTGGCTCTAGCACAGGACTTCAACTCACCTGTTGTACAGGTAAGCAGAGTCTTTATCACATTCCTGGTTGTATGAGTGAGTGTTTTGCTCTATTCAATTTGTATTTCAAGTCTAATTATGACTGCTCTAGTGTCTCCTGCTTACAGGTTTGTGACTGTATTTTGAAAGAGATGACTAGTCGAAGGTGCCGCAATTTACTCGACAGAGTTGTCCCCCTTAGTAGTGCCAGGATCAAATCAGCATGGATTCAGATTTTCACATTCAGATTGATTCAGAGATTTGGTTTGTCAGCAATGTACCTGTGTCTGTCCATGAATTTCTCCAAACTCATTTTGGACTTTTCACTGAAATTAAGCTAACATATTGTAAAGATATTCTGTCCAAACTTAACCAAATCTACTCACTCACTCACACACACTGGCTCTCTTCCAGGTGTGGACGCTCCATGCCCTGGCACTGATAGCTGACTCCGGTGGGCCGATGTTCCGGAGCTACGTGGAGCCGACGTTGTCCCTGGTGCTGCAGCTGCTGTTGTCAGTCCCACCGTCATCCATCGATGTTCATCAGTGTCTGGGAAAATGTCTGTCAGCTCTCATCACATCCATAGGACCAGAGTTGCAGGGTGAGTGGGCTGTGCAGAAGTCAGTGTGGTGTCAGTGTGGTGATGGTGTGTGGTCTTGCATATGGAGCCCAGGTCACAAATTAATTGAAGTTAAGCAACACCCTTGGATGGGTGACAGTGTTCACCAAGCCAAAAATGGGTACCCGGTGGGATAAGTCATATGGCTATTAACCTTCTATTGCAGTTTGGGTTATCCAGGGAAATAATGTCTATTATGTTGTGTACACTTCGAGCATGCCCATTCGGAGTTAAGTGCTATATTATCTGACACACAAACATTTTCCATTAAAGTCTAAATCTTCATTGCTTAAGCAACAGTGTAAAGGTGCTTATGAATTTGGCTTTAAGCAACTGATCATTCACTGACAACTAAATATGTTTCTGGACAATGGATAATGAAAACTACAAAGAGATTGATAATATGTCTGTCCTTTGTACAGGAAACAGCGGGTCTATTGCGACAGCGCGGTTATACAGCTTGGTGTGCTGTGCGGTGATGCAGGACCACCCCGACTCCCTGGTGCAGGCCGAGGCCATCACGTGTCTGCAGCAACTGCACATGTTTGCCCCTCGCCACGTCAACCTCACCAGCCTCATACCCCACCTCTGTGTAAGTTCAGATCATTAGTTAAACATGTGTTGCAAATTCCTGTTTTAACTGTTTTTTGTTGTTTGGCATTATCAGATGAATATCAAGAAATACAAATAAAAAATACACTATTGACTCAATGATACGTTTGAATGCCACAACCTTGTATTTTTTAGAACAACTTTGTTAGGGTCAAATGAAGCATATTCTGATTTAATTAACTTCTGATACAACATTCTTCTGTCATTAGCAAAATTGAAAAATATCTTAAGGAAAATTGGATGGCATTCTATCAGTTAGAACTGATGTAAACTGGTGTGAAACCTGATTTTAGTTTGATGTTACAAGATGTGGCCTCAGATGGCTAAATTCCTACACTACTTTCAACAGGAGATTTTGACGAGCTCCCACCTGTTGTTGAGGCGGGCAGCTGTAGCGTGCTTACGTCAGCTGGTGACGCGGGAAGCCAGGGAGATCAGTGAACAGGCCTTGTCCCTGTCTGGTGAAGGGAAGGATGGGAAGTCATGTGCCAACATCACAGAGACCGGCCTCGAGGGGGCACTGTTTGGAATGCTGGATACAGAGATAGATGGGAAGCTGATATCGGATGTGCAGGACACAATCGACAGCTTGCTGCAGAATCTTGCCATTCCTAATCTTACACGCTGGCTGATTCTACTGAAGGATGTGCTTTCAGCTTCTACTGGTATGTTGCGCTTATGTCTGTGTGGGGAAATACTTTGTTGGGATATGATCATTCAAAAATTGTTTGTAAGTAGCTCATTGTTCCTCGTAATCAAAACAGATCACACATTTAAGATGAATGTTAAATATCTGAAGTTATCTTCATGTCAATAAAATATTTCAATGCTTGGCCTCAATTGCATTATTCCTGGGGGCAGTTGGGTAGCCTAGTGGTTAAAGCCTTCGCTCGTCACGCTGAAGACCCGGGTTCGATTCCCCACATGGGTACGATGTGTGAATCCCATTTCTGGTGTCCCTCATTGTGATATTGCTGGAATATTGCTAAAAGCGAAGTGAACCTAAACTCACTGTTTTATTCCTGTTTGATGTCAGAGAAAGTCATATGATGTCTTATGATGTTTAAATGTTCCGTGTTTGACCACTTCCAGACACAAGTAGCGCCAGCCCAGGTGAGGATGATGGAGGAGATGACGATGACGATGAAGAGAGTCAGGACATCGATGTCAGGTTCAAGGCGGCAGAAGTAGAGAATGCACATCCTACAGTAGCACCCAGGTCAGTAGAGACAGTCCCGTGTGTCATCACGGTTACCATTGATCCTCAGGCGTCTGGGTTGAATGGCTAATCATCACTGTTTGAAATTAAGGGTGTCTCTTCTGGAAACTTGAAGATTGAGTTTTTGAATGCCTAAAATCTTTTGCTCTCAATATTAGGGTTTGGAGATAGAGAGGTTGAAGTTCAGATCAGTATTTCTAAACTTTCCACTTCTGTTTTGCAGATGGCCAACACGAGTGTTTGCTGTTGAGTGTTTGAGGAAGATCATGACGTCCTGTGAGAGTGGGGAACATCAGTTTGACCTGGTCAAGGCGAAGGCACTGTCCGAGTCAACAGGCAAACGTAAGTCACACAGTATATCTGTAATGTTTATGTAGTAATACAACACCTGATGAAAGTTTCATTAAGAATATGCAATAGGTAAACATTCCTGAAAATATTCAGGCTTTGTTATTTATTGTTTGTCATTGATTATTTGAACATGGTAGAAATATACATGTGAAGTTTTCTCACTATTTCTTATTATTTATTATCTCCCTTTGTTCATCAGGATGTTACCTCTGTCTTCATCTGTCCGACCTGATCAGGATGGCTTTCATCGCAGCAACATCCGACAGCAACCAGCTGCGGTTGACTGGTCTAGCTGCTCTTGAGGTAATCATTGTCTTTATGGATGCTACAAAATAAAGTAATGCTTGTATGTTTCCAATGTGATTGCTAGTTTGATTATGAAATCCGAATCCTGGTTGTTTGGTAACAAAGTTGCCATACTCATTATTGAGCTGAGAATGCAATTTCGTATACATACTAGCCTGGGCCACATGCTTCTAGACACTAGTGTGATTGTTGATGTTTGTGATAATTTTGCACTAAAGATCAAGGTGAGATCACACAGGTATATTCTTGTGTCATGGTATGGCTGTGAACATGAAGATGGTCCCTGAGCCTTGAGGTTCGATCTATGAAATTTTGAAATTAGGGACCATCACAATCTTTAGCTTTTAGTGTGTAGGCAACAACAACAACTGCCTGATTTTCATACTGTACTTCATTGCTTAGACCTTCAGGTTCAATGTCAGTTACTCTACAACTCTGGAAAATGCATTTTTTCCAGGAACTTGTGACAAAGTTTGCAAGCATCCCAGAGCCTGAGTTCCCAGGTCATGTGATTCTGGAGCAGTATCAGGCGCAGGTGGGGGCAGCCCTCCGCCCCGCCTTCTCCCCAGACACGCCCTCAGATGTGACTGCTGCAGCGTGTGAGGTAAATACTTAGATGTCTCTCATCTAAACTACATGTATTGAGAAAACTCCTATTGTTAAAGGATATGACCCATCTACTCAGCAACTAATTAAGACACAGCTTGAATATGACTTGTAGGTAAATCCTACACTCTTACAACCTATATTTGCTTTGTTAGGATCATGTTCACATAATGTAAGGGACATTACTATGTATCAGTTAAGGACAAATGTTAACCAATATGGGTTTTGTTGCCCTTGTGTTTTAAAAGGAATTGTACCAGTGACAAGAGTTAGAGGATGAGACGTATTCCCAAAGAGTTGTTAAGTATTAGTCCCTACACTTTGCTTTGATTAAACTATTATAATCTACCTATAAGAAGGGTTCGAGATATGTTGCTCCTGTACATGTGAGTGAGTGAGTTCAGTTTTACGCCGCTTTTAACAATATTCCAGCAACATCACGGCAGGGGACACGAGAAATGGGCTTCACACATTGTACCCATGTGGGGAATCGAACCCGGGTCTTCGGCGTGACGAGCGAACGCTTTAACCACTAGGCTACCCCACCGCCCCCTGTACATGTAATGATATGTACACAAGACTAATAATTATTGCGCTAATTTTAACAGCTTTCTTTGTAATATCTGATATCCAGATGGAACTATGAGTGTTTAATGATTAAGTGGGAATAACAAGGTGGTTTCTGTCAGTGATGTGACGTTCTTGTCCCCCAGGTGTGCAGTACGTGGATCGGAAGTGGGGTAGCGCGGGACCTCAATGACCTGCGGAGAGTCCACCAACTACTTGTGTCCTCTCTCAGTAAGCTGAAGACGGGCAAGTCTCAAGTCTCTCTTGTACAACGAAAGTGCTTCCACCATGGAGAAACTGGCAGTCATCAGAGCTTGGGCTGAGGTTAGTGTCAATCACATTTATTGCTGACCTTCATCCATCCTCAGTATTTCAATCTATTCCCCACCTACCTTTGTTAGTCAAATGGATTAGGTTGTTGAGTTCTGGTTGATAGGAGTCATTATACCCCGATGCCTTGGATCATTGTCCACACTTTCAAACAAAAATATTTAGTCAAGGCTCAATTATTTACAGATCATCCTCATATATAGCTTGAAAATAGCTGGTGTATGGTGTTGAACAATTAAAAGAAGAAGAAAAAGCAAAAACAAACATAAAAAGTGTGCTGAAAAATCTGGTGCTTACAATGTGTTACATTATGTATCATTGTTCATGCTGTCAATCACTGGTTTTCTTTGTGCTAGCCTCTACTGCTGAGTGACACAGAACTTGTTTCAGTGTAAACCAACATTGCCTTCTGTGACTGATTCAGCTTCTAGAGTTTACAGTCTGTCTTGTATGATGTTGAAACTGTACTCTATAAAACAGGTCTCAGCCTTTCCTCAGGGAAACCAACTCTCAGCAGGGTTGTGGAAGAATGTAATCACATTCAGGCTCCATTCTCCATCAGCAACGCTAAAACATACCATGAAAGTTGCAAACAGGATGTAAAACGTATATTTATTCCCAGGTGTACATTGTGGCGATTGACCGTGAGCGAGAGAAGCAAGAGCAGAACAAGGAGAAGATGAAGGAGGAATATAACGACCACAGCGGGGAGTCCCTCCTGAGTCTGGTCCAGCCAGAGTTGTCTACCCTTAGTGAGCACTGGAACAATGCCCTCAGGGACCACGCTCTCCTTTCTCTTCCTTCAGGTGAGGACATCTGTACAATTTGTCATGGTGAGGTGAGGTGAAATTGGGTTTAATGTCGTGCTTGAGAATATTTCGCTCATATGACGACGTGCATGCGTGTGTATATGTATGTGCGGCTGCTTGTACTAGCCCAGACTTAAGCTGGTTTTTAGTGCTAGCCCACTGATATACCATGCCGCAGTGAAGCATGAATACCCCACTCAGACACAGTATACTGACTCCGAGCCGACCAGTCCTTGTTGTACCCATTAATGCCGAGCGCCAGGCAGGGACCAACAAGTACCATATTTTAACGTCTTTTGGTATGAAGCGGTCGGGGATCAAACCCGCGACCTTCCGCTCTCCGGGTGGACGCTCTAACCACTACACCACGGAGGCGGTTATTTGTCATGGTGGTAGGTGTCGGATTCCTCATAGGAAATGTGGGAATTAAACGTCTTTTGTTATAGGTTCGTGGCTGAAACATTGCCATGTCATGCTGCATATCTGGGTTCTTCTCACATAGGAATAAGTATGAAGCCTTTACTTAGGTGTATTCTGCCTTAGTTTACACATGTCATTGTATCACACGATTGTCTGGTAATGACCTAATTATTTACAGACTGCCATCATATAGCTGGAATATTGCTTAGTGTGGCATTAAACAACATTGCAACCAACCATTGCTTGAATATTAAAATAGATAAATATGGAACAAGGATATTTACTAAGTGACAGGTATCACAGCTTATCAGAAGTTGACTGTGGTTATTGAGTCACTTTTAAAAGCCAGTGTTTTACGCCTCCATCTGTTGACTAGTTTTGAAGAGCTGTTTGATATCAGTCGCACTTGAACTATTGACAGACAGCAATGTTCCTGCTCCTTTCAGAATATTCAAGTCAGCTACCGACTGATGGTGGTGCTTTTTACCATCCTGACACAATTGAGACAGCACGGCAGCACTACAAGAAATCTTGGCCTCCGATCCTGTACGCCCTGTGTGTATGGTTGAAGGAGAAGGGGATCGGTGACCCACTGGGGGAGAAGTCGGGAGAGAGAGAGGGCGTGCCTCATACAGTGGGACCCCTCAGTCTGCAACCGGCTAACGTACCAGCCAACATGAAACCACAGAGTCTCAACCAAGACAGGTTCTATCTCATCCTCGGTGAGTCTAAACAAGTGGAATTATTGGCTACAATAGTACATTTGACATTCTAGACAACCTGTGCTTGTCATAAGAGGACACAAGATTTGATGGAGTGGTCAGACTTTGTTGTTTGAGCGCCCTCGTACCTCAATAAGATGAACTGTTGCTCAGTATATCAATCACTTGATTGTCTGGTCCTGACTCAGTTATGTTCAGACCATCATATTGCTGAACGCAGAGTGAAACTACAAATTTGCACATGCATCACTAACTCAGAGGTCAAGCCATAATCATTAATCCCATTAGCTAAACCTGACTTTCGATAATTAACTTATTATTTCACTGCAGTTTTTAGGAAAACTATGATTGTCTTTAAAATTGAATTAAATCTTGCCTTTGACTAACAACTTCATGGCTCTGGCAAACGCTAAATAGGCCTGAGTGATGGAAGTCACTTGTGTGGTGTATGAATATCATATTCTTTTCTGAATGCATGAACTTCCTCTCCTACATTATTCTGTAAGCTGTTTATGTTATTCCTTCATGAGTTCTAAAGTGGAGTTCTGGTTAGTGGCACAGAAAAAAAGATATAATTTATAAGAAAATCCATTCATTATCCAATCTATTTTCCACCAGGTATTTGCATGGAGTCGTTATGCAGTCCAACATCTCGTCTGGCCACTGAAACAGCTGACCAGTGTCTGAAGGGCCTGTATGCTCTGCTTAATGCCAAGTGGTCGCGGAGACAGCTCGGAGAAGACCCAACGCTCTCCCGGGAACTTCTCAATGTCATGCACAGGTCTGTAACCACACTCAACTTGCCTTTCAGTGTGTCTGTAAATTGTAAAGATTCTCCAAATTGTAATTGATGTCGAAGCAGAGCTCAAAGATGTTTAGCTTATGGGTCTGTGGTTGATGAACCAAGCTAGATTTATAAGTAGGGGAGGCAGTGAGGTAGCCTAGTGGCTAAAGTGTTCGCTCACCATGGCAATGATATCACATGGGTACAGTATGTTGCTGGTATCGCCTTCAGTGATATTTCTGAAGGCAGCTTTAAACCATTCCCTTTCACTCACTCACTCGTAAGTTTGGCAGATCTGAGATTTATCACCTTGAACCACTTGTCCCCTATGCCTCGTTCTCATTCTCACATATCTAGGCTGTGCAGGCCTATTGTAGTCTCTCTCTGCTGCTGTTCCTATTTGTTGTACGACTGAATTAATGTTTCCATTGTTAAACCACTGTTTCCAGGGTGATCTTGACACGGGACACTGTGGCAACACAACACTTGGCAGTAGATGTGGTGCGGCAGGTGCTCCGAGCAGCAGTAGAGAACCTGGATATGGAAAGAGTCAAGCTTAAAGGTAGGGAAGATTTCACACCCACCTCCATAAACAGCTGTAGGGAATGTTGTGGTTGGAATAGCAAAACTAACATTGCACAGGATTAATGAAAGGTTTTTAACAGCTTTGCAGAAAACCACAAAATGCAATAAATGTTTGTAGTGTATAGACATGACAAATGGAGTTATATACCATAAATATAGCAAATACAATTATCTTGCGATGAATATTCCCTGAAAGAGCCAATTGCCTGCCCAAATTTAGCTTTAAGTTTGCAAATGTGCTACACTTCCCTCAGTCAGTTTGTTCAATTGTCGCCTGCAGAGAAGGAACTGAGCACACCTAGTACAACTGAGAGCAGTACGGACTCAATGGACACAACAGACAGCACCCTGGTGGCAGGAGAGGGTGGAGAGTCAGGGGACATTGAACCAGGGAAGTCTGTGGTGTTTGCCTCTCTTGAAGTCTGTCTGTGTGTCCTGGTCAGACAAATCCCTGCAATGAACCCCTCAGCTCCCACTACAGGCTTTCAGATCCCCACACACCTGATGAAGCTGTCGGTGGAGTCAGGAACTCTCATTTCCTCTGTCATCCATGTAATGGCTGACCTCCCCAGCCTCTGCTCTCCCACAGGTGAGTTCACAGATTAGTGTGCATTGTGCTTCATGGGATTAGAGTAATCTCCCTTGAATTGTATAGTCAACCATGGCTTTTATGAAATCTAGTATGATATTTATTGACAGAAGATAAAAGTAAAGTGATAAGGAAAGGAATGGCAAAAGTGTGTGTACATGCATGATCAAATCTGATAGTAACAGATTTTATTGATATGCGATACTTTTACAGAGCATAGTTTTTCTATCAGTGTTTTTGCTATGATGTAAAAGTGACATGAACTCACCAAGTATCTCAGAATGAATTGTTATGTGAATATAAAAGTATTTTCAGTTGCTATTTCACCCTGATCTTTCACATTCTAGGTGCCGTATCAGTTCTACCCACAATCCTCCACCTGATCACCAGGGTGATGCGTGAGGTCGCAGCAAGGTCAGCTGAGAGGAAAATTCCCTCAGTGATAGCTGCGTGTCTGCAATCCCTCAAATCTCTGTGCACATCTGTCTACCTGGAGGATGAGATGGTGGGGCAGGACTGGCTCCTCATCCTGCAGAGTTCCCTAGCAACCATCCTACACTACGCACGACCAGGTATGTAACTTTGAGACACCATTCTCATTTATCCAGTGTACCATCTCTCCATGATAAATACCTTGGTCCCATTTGCCTATACATCTTGGATTCGACTAGTAAGATGCTGAAAATATCTGACCAATCAAATTACTTGTGTGTGTTTATCTGATCACTTCCTTGTATCACAAAGTGTGTTAGATATTCTCGTACCAGTATATCCGGTATGTGTGATACTATGATTATGTTATTGTGTTTTCAGGGGAAGATTCAGCAGGTCTGGACGAGAGCACTCTCATCCTGGCCTTGGCAGTCTTCACGATGTCTTGTCCAAGGGAGATAACCTCAGTCCCAGCACTCCTTGAGCCAACTCTCGAGATATACAAGGAAGCCTTGCAGTCAGACAACAATGAGGTAAAACCTTGGGTTGGATCAATAGAGGAATGTTTGGCCGCTGAACAAAATGGAACTTCTGAGAATGTACAAGCAGCCACACATAGTATTCTTGTTGCTATATAAGTACAAAAATCTTGAACAGGATTGTAAACCCCATTTCACTGTAACTCATCACGATACATGTTATTGCAATGAAGGACATCTGAATTTGTGTTTAGTGTATGTTTGACATTGGATGAGGTGTTTTTCGGAGCAGGGTACGTACAAGTATATCATCTGATGCAAACACAGTTAGTCTTTTGGTAAATGTTAAATCTTAATGTCTTCTTCCAGCTGAAGGTCAAATGTGTTCAAGCCTTTGTCTCAATTCTTCAACACTCGGACAGTCAGGTCGCCACACCCTATATCCACGCACTGGCACCAAAAGTTATTGAGTTCTTGTACTCGGTTTCATCATCACGTCCAACGTCTGACTTGGAACTAACCTTGGTGTTGGAGTCATTGAGAGTTCTAGAGACACTGGTGAACCTCGCTGAAGACAGCAAGCGTAAGTACAGAGCATTATGAGTGGGTAGGCTAGGTAAAGTCTGAGGTACTTTTCAGAGTGAGTGAGTGAGTTTAGTTTTATGCCGCACTCAGCAATATTCCACCTATATGGTGGCGGTCTGTAAATAATCGAGTCTGGACCAGACAATCCGGTGATCACAGCATGAACATGGATCTGCGCAATTGGGAGCCGATGACATGTGTCAACCAAGTCAGTGAGCCTGACCACCCGATCCCATTAGTCGCCTCTTACGACAAGCATAGTCGCCTTTTGTGGCAAGCATGGGTTGCTGAACACCTATTCTACCCCGGATCTTCACACGATGTACTTTTCAGAGCCAAGCAGGATATTGTTTC